AAGGAGAAAAGGGATACATATTTTCACCTCATAAAGTGAAGGAGTGAAAACATAGCTCGTTACGTAATAATAAGCTACGACTGCCGTTTATGAGTCAGTCTCGTTAAACTTTTTGTGAGAGTGGGGATGGTTTGGTAGGATGAGGAGCGTTGGTTACGATAGCTGCCACTCAAAAACTACACGGCCTATCAATTGATGTTTGCTCAGTGGTCTTTGAATCTGTACATAGAGAGAGCCAAAGTTGTAAAGTCTTAATTACAGAAATTACATGTACTTGGCGAAACTTTGTCGTGCCCGTATTGGTTTGACAACAGGAAGAAATGTGATTCATGACTGACACGCTGGCATAGGTCCTCATAATGAAAAGGTAACAAAATATTACAACAGAACATTTTCTCACTGAATTGTCTGAAAATGTGTTCAGTCTTCGATGCAATCCTCTCGGTTAATATCTGAGTTCGCCTTGACGATAAATAGTAATTAGTAAGTGTGTGAAATCAAACCTCAGGACTTGTGCATTTAAATGTTTATCACGAGCCCATTAGTTTCTACAATTTCACATTACATTACATTACATTACATAGGTTTACACCGAAGGTGACGAACGAAACTTTGAAGAATAAGTCAGCATGAGAAGTGTTGCTCTTAACTTTTTGTGGTCTCACTGGAACAAGGACCCAACTAGGACCCGGAATATAGAAACCCAAAAGACATTAAATTTAATTTCTGTATAAGAAGTTGGACCTGATAAGTGCTCTGAAGTTGATTAAGGTGCTTCAACTTGATAGACCTTTGTGATCGTATCAGTTTGTAGGACGCATGCCACACAAAACCCTATAGTTCAAGAATTCGGATCCTTGCAAAGACACTCCGACACTTACGCAGTTGTGACTAATTTTATATAGATATCTTTGTTCCGGTAGTGAATTGGGAATTACTTAGTTCTTAAAAGAATTAGAAGGTCCTTGATAAATCACCCAACGAAGACAGAAAACAAATGCGAAAGAGTCTGTGCTATGTCAATGCCCACCTAAGAAAGTTCTTCTTTGTCACTGTGAGTTTTAGTCCGGCAACAGAAATGTCACTAAGACTTCTGCAATCAGCAAAGACAAAGGGCAAACCACGGTCGAAACACACCAACAGTCACCAAAAAAATGCAGTTGTGGTGAGGAAGAAGATGGCGGCGTATGAGCGTGGAGGAGGTCGAGCCGTTTGTTATTATGGGGGAGAAAGAACTGTACGCTACAGTACGGAGTATTGAAGTGCAACGCTAATACAGACGATCATTCTTATATGACCGGAGGACAGGCTGACGGCATCATGGTGGAAAATCGGTGCTAAGTGTGACAATTTGTAACTCGCCTGAACGTAGACTACCTTATTATAGGAATATAACGAAGCATGTTAATAACGCGAAGAAAATTTACGCGTCATAAAATTAACGCGAATTTTCCAAAAGTTATGCTTACATACATTTAATTAACGCGAATTTCCGTGCGGTATGTTGCATAATTAAGACGTGAATTTAATATTTTTCGCACTCATTTCGTTAGAAAACAACAACGGCCAACAACAAAATTTGCTCTCTATTTCCGGTAAAAAACATAAGAAATGAAATGAGATGACAAAAATGCGATAGACATTTTGCGCAAGAAAGTTGAAGAAGTGAGTTATCCCCTCCGAGAAGACGATCGCTACACTGATGAATCTAAGGACATTTTGAACTTAATATTAAAGGATGATGCGTCAACCGACTCTGACGGTGACGTAGAGGAATTGTGGCTTTGCTTATAATATAGGTGTCTTTAAATAACGATACTTTTAATTAACGTCATTTTAATTAACAATGAGGTAATTTAAGATACATAAAATTAACGCGAATTTTTGAAATTCGCGTTAATTACATGCATTGTTAATTTCCTATAATAAGGTACTTTCCTTAAAGCAAATCTCAGTTTAAATGCCATCGATGTAGAGATTCGTTCTCGTGTTATGTAAATAGTGCTCCGGGGAGAAAAAGGGGCTTATTAATCCACTGGATGACGCAAACCGTATAAATGATTTCTGGTTTTTCATGCGATCTATTAAGGAAAACGTTGCATAATATTAGATAGGGCAAACTACAGGGCAAACTACAACATAAGCGAACTACAGTGATTAATCGCATATCATCGAACACTTACTTCTGTGACGATATCCAGCAGATTATTCCTAATCACTCGTAGACACGGGGTGGCAGTTCAATTGGGCATTCGGTTGGCAAAATCATATGAAACGCCGGTCAGCGAGGGAACAATTTAGCACGGAACGATTCCTTCTAAAATGAACTTTTAACACGTTGCGCGATCTTAAGAGGTTACTAATCCCAAGTGTATCATGAACTTAATGAAAAGGGAAATTAACTGTCGATAGATAGATAGATAGATAGATAATAATCTTTAGACAGGGTGCATTCTCACAGAAGTGGTGTTCAGAACGGCCCTGTAAGCACCCACCCAACCCACCCCAGGGGAGGACATCCATCACACAGTATACTCGTGCGTGGGAAATTAACGTCTCCTACCCCTAACCCTGCAGGAGACGGGACCTCCATTTATTCGTCCCTATCCGAGAAGACTAGAATATCTAACCATTTCTTGATATTACAGAAAGGAAGCATATTCTTCTCAGTTATTTTAAGACCTTGAGTGTTGGTCCGGCCGGGGCACAAACCCTCGACCTCCCGCACAACAGTCCAGCGCTCTATCCATTGAGCTAACAAATAGCTAACTATTTGTTTCTCAACGAAACAAATAGTTATTCGATTATTTGACAATAATGAAGTCAATTTTGTGAAACATGTCAGCCTTCATTTTATATTAACTGGAATCAAGATGCGAGATTGAAGGCCCACGGCCCATCTCTTCAATTTAGTGTCGAACACGAATAGACACTGACAAATGTAACAAAAGTACTCATAGTAACTTCTTGAGTGTGGATTTGTTTCAGTGCAAGGATCGAAAAGAAATAGGATATAATTCACGATGTGAATTTGTTTATCTTATCAATGAATCAGTTTTTTATAGCTCTGTCTGATTTGATAATAACACATGGTCCATCCGATTAGCTTCCGATTCCAAGACGTTCCGAAGAAAAAATGTTTTGAAGACGCATTGTTTCACATATTATCTCCTGCTTTTGACGTTCAATAAACTGACCGATGTCAGAATCGCTCAGCCGACGTAAGCTGATCTCTGACAAGCCTGGCAGTAGACCTGAAAGCAACCTACTTTAAGAGGGCCTTTTTGAGTGGGAACGGTCGACTGAACTGTGGTTTTTTTTCTTTATACGCCGCACTGGAGGAAGGCTCTCTCCGCCCCTCGAACGAAGCACTGTTTCGCAACTGAATCAACGAACACTTCATTTATTAATCTGAATGATAACCTCATGCAACAGATAAATGGAAACAAACGTAAAGAGGGTGAAAAAAAAAAAATTAAAAGCTAATACAAAAAAATAAATGTTTACTGTGTCCCTTTTTTTTGTTTTGTTTTGTTTTTTTTTGTCTTTAAGCCGGCGAGGAAAATTTCACCGGTTCTGAAAAACAGGATCACTTTACAAAAATAACGAAATAAGAAGAGGACCTGCATCAGATTTACTGCAGAGGAATGTTCACATTCTACAGCAAAACGTGGATTGCATGTTTTGAAAAATCGCAAACCAACAACTTATTATCTTCAAAAGGAGCGACAGAGGGATGGACAAATGGCTCATGAAACGAATTAATAAATTTTCCATCTAAAGAAAACACCTGAAGACTGGTGTTATAACTCACGACCAGGTTCTTAAACGCATCAATGATGAGGTCGTTTCCACCATTAAGATATTGTCCGTGGCCAAATTCTTTTTTTCAAAATATCAAACAGATAAAGTCCTTCGTTGTTGAATACTCGAACACAGTCATTTGAGATAGATACAAAAAACTTGTCCGCATGATAAACAGCACAACCCGGGGACTCGATAGCGTTCGTCCCTTTGAAGGAATGTACTAATCGTGCACCATCAAGGGAGAGGACCTTTACTGACTTGTCGCCCAAGTCACACACGATCATGTGACCATCACCTTTGACAGATATGGTAAATGGATCAATCAGATCCTGACTGATGACTTTAATGAAGTCACCATATTCAGTGAACAAGAACATTTTAGAAGTTTGTAAAAGTTCTCCATGAATAACTATGACTTCATCTGATGCTGTAAATCCCACTGATTTAGGATACTTGATTCTCTCAGCAGCACGCCCTTTGTCTCCTATTGTTCTCAGATATTTGTACTCACGATCAAACAGCTGAACTCTGCGATTACCATGATCTGCTATGGCAATCTTTCCTGTTCTTTCACTCACTGCAATGATAATTGGGTTTTGAAACTGTCCCGGTTCTATCCCACGTGATCCAAATGAATGAATAACTTTGTACTGATGACCGATCACCTGATTCCTCCAAGGACTACCAGTCAGCGGCTTGCCATTAACCCCTACAGAAATGTCACGTCAGCCAACACTCTTTGGCTTGTAACACACTGTGTAGTTTCCATCCTTACAGTCATTAAATTCTATTTCCTCCCCTTCTCCTGTTTGAGAGCGGATTGTTACGGTCAGTTGGTCATTATCATTATACCACTATGACATTGTTTTGGTCACTTGTGGGAGAAAAAATAGTCCGCTTCCAACATTGTTCGGGTTAGCGTGTTGCGTTATTAGGCAAGGAGCAATGTTATGAACTTGCCACTCCCCATCAGGTTATTGTTCGGCGGACTTAACAAATGCTTATTAAAGGAGAAAGGGGATACATATTTTTATCCCTTAAAGTGGAGGAGTGACAACATACCTTGTTACGTAATGCTAAGTTCCTACAACTATTTGAACCAGTCTCGGAAAAATTTTTTTGGGAGCTGTAATAGTATGGCAAAATGGGGAGGGTTGGTTACGATAGCTGCGACAGAAAGACCACACACCCAATCAGTTGTTTGCTGGTCTTTTAATCTGTACATAAAGAGAGCCAAATGTGTAAAGTTTAATTTACAGAAATTACATGTACTTGACGAAACTTTATCGTGCCCGTATTGGTTTGGCAACGAGAAGAAATCTGATCCATGACTAACACGCTGGCATAGGTCTGAAGAAGGAACATGTAACAAAACATCAAAACAGAAACATTTTGTAACTGAATTCTCTAAAATTTTCTTCAGTCTTCGATACAATCCTCTCGGTTAAAATTTGAGTTCGTCCTAAGGACAGAGAGTAATAAGTAAGTGTATAAAAACAAACCCCAAGACTTCTGCATTTAGTTCTTTATCATGAGCCAACTAGTTTCTACAATTTTAGTTCTCAGGTCTACCGAAGGAGACAAAGTTAACAAAACTTTGATCGCTTGAAAAGAGAAATAAGTCAGAAATATTGCTCCCAAATTTTTATGATTCCACTGAAGCAACGACCCAATTACGACCACAACATTCAAACCAAAAAGGCATTACATTTCATTTCTGTATAGCAAGCTATCGACATTTGTGATCCTATCATCAGGTAGGACGCTTGTCACACCAAAACCCTATAGTTCAAGAATTCGGATCCATTCAAAGACACTCCGACACTTACGCGGTTGTGACCAATTTTAGATAACTTTGTTTCAGTAATGAATTGGGCATTACTTGGTTCTTAACAGAATTAGAAGGTCCTTAATAAATCGCCCAACAAAGACATCGTGCGTAACGAATATGACGGAGAACAAATGCAAGAAAGTCAGTGCTATGTCAGCGCCTACCTTAGAAAGTTCTCCTTTGTCACTGCGAGTTTGAGCCGCATCAAAAATGTCACTAATACTTCTGCAACCTGCATAGAAAAAGGACAAATCACGGTCGGAACCACTGTCGGAATACGCGAAGTTATTGTAATGTTTTAAGCTTTGAAATAAAGTTATTATTGTTATTATCATAATAATAATAATAATTATTATTATATTTATTGTTATTATCAGTTAGTGTTATAATTGTCATTAGTATCATCATCATTATTAATCGTAATATTATCTTATTACTTTTTTTTTTTTATCCTTTTAGCCGAAGATAAATTCGTCACTTTCCTTACTTTGTCCGGAGCATCCTCGTGGACACAATGACCGCATCGTGGTAATACTTGCATCTGAAATTTCCCTTTTGACGAATAAAGCAGAGTTGTTATACACAAATTGATATTCAAACGAGAGAACTTAATATCAGCAACACTCTTTTTCTTCTAATCTGAGACGCAGGGTTCGAATCCTTTTTCAGAAACAAATTTCAAGGACTTTTCCAGGACTTTTCCAGGACTCAAATTTTTCCCTTAAACCCTTTCCTTCTAAAGATTCCAAAACCAATTTTCCTTACAGTCTACAAACATTCCTTATAAAGTAAATTTTGAAAAATTTATTGCTTGAGTTAAGCAGATTCCCAGGACTTTCCAGGACCTGTAGTCTTTTTCCAGGACTTTCCACGTCTAGAAAATGTCAAAAATAAAATTCCAGGACTTTCCAGATATTCCTGGACCCGCACGAACCCTGGGGACAACATACCTTGCATTTGACCAATTGTCAGATCTTTATCGAGACGATCAACACCTACGGCGAGAATTCGTTCGTAAAATTGTTATATGTCAAAACTACTTGTATTTATCAGATATAGGCGCGGTTGATAAAAGTCTAAAAGAAATGAAATAGTCTGCGATTACATTCATCAAAAGCTAGGAGTTTTGTTTACATCCCTATAATATACATGAAAAAATTTCTCAGTTCTGATTGGTTAAGATGAATGCAGTTTTCAGTTAATTCAGTGCAGAAGAGGGTTAATTCAGTGCAAAGAGAGAGACAAACCAGGCATTCTGATTGGTCAGAATGATTGGTCAATGTCAAGGTCAATGTCAATGTCACTTGCAGGGTTTGAATAAATTAGTTTTGCGCCTGATGTGCGCGCTTTTCTTCTGCGTAGTTATGGGAAGCTACCCCGTATTTTTTCATGTATATTATTAATAGATAATCACGTGACTTTCTCGTGCAATTAGGAATATATAATCACTTGTAACTTTTTTCAAAGACCACAAATTGCACTCGCCCTACGGGCTCATGTAATTTTGTTAGTCTTTGAAAAAATTTACTCGTGCTTATTTATTCCAAATTGCACTCGAAATCATGTGATTACCTATACAAATGCAGAGCTTTTAGATAAAGAAGAATATCGATCTTCAGGATCTCGAATTCCCAAAATGTGTTTTCAAGTGATCAAATGTTACATTTTTCGAAAAGTTTGGTTACTTTGTACTAAAGTTTAGCCACCTACAACATTCAACATTCAACAAGAACAAAAACAATGAAAGCTTCATCATCGTCATCATCACTTTCAATAAAAGGTAACGGTAAAGTCTGTTTACGAGCCTAGTGGCCCATTCGGCCGGTGTTTAACTCCGGTCTCTGTAGTATGAAGCGACTAGGAGTGTTTCTACTCCCCCCTGGATGGGATGCCAGTCCATCGCAGGGTTACCCTCAGCATTAAACTTTCCGGTACCCATTTATACACCTGGGTGAAGAGAGGCACTGTGAGAGTAAAATGTCTTGCCTAAGAACACATTACAATGTCCCGGCCGGGGCTCCAGCCCGGAACACTCGATCCAGAGTCGAGCGCACCAACCATGAGGCCACCGCGCCTCCCATCACTTTAAATATCAAGATAAAATAATAAAAAAAAAACAAACAAACAAACAGAAACAAAAAATTGAAATGCAGAAAGTTATATTTGTTTACCTGCCAAGATGAGAAGCTTTGGAACAGGACACGATAAGAACAAATTGGACATGTCTTTAAACCAGCCTTCAGAATTAAGAAGACAAAAAATAACCACTAACAAAACTGGCAGAGAAAAAATGGGAATATGTACACCTGATCACCAAAGGGAGGCTTTCCATCTTTTGAAAATGCAGAACAAGGGAAAATGCGACTCAATCCTAAGTTTTTTAAGGCTAATCCACGCTTTCATGGCTAAAGAAGTGTGGAAAAATGGCAACAATGACAACGGTTTCTTAAGAGAATACTGGCGGGAGTTTTAAGCCCTCTGACATTAGATGTCACATTTCCATCAGTGTTAACATTGTGGTATGTACACCTCCAAATAAGCTTAGACTCACCTTCCCAAAATCTATCAGTCTTGGACAAGTCAATCCTCCAAGTGAATCTCTCATCAGCCCTCTAAACGACAAATACCCACAAAATGAATGTATTCGGAGCGCATTTCGACTAAGCGTCGTGCAACCAAAAGCAATTCAATTACAACGGTATGACTAAGGTTATATCAATTACTGTAAAGCACCAGTATAGGTCTCGATCACTTGAATCGGAACCAAGCCTCTAACAGTATTTTTAGCTTCCACACTTACACAGAAGAAAACGTGTTGAGGTTTGCAGATTTCAATATCCTCTTGATTGGAAAACAATATCACCTTCTCGAAAGGCATGCACGCTATGTCGCCGTATTGGGTGATGTGAAGGTGTAGTCTGATCGTCCGGGTGAGTGTAGTCCTGAGAAGGACTGTTGTCGGTGGCAGTGACTGACGTTTCGACAACCTGTGCGGAAGTCATCATCAGAGTCAAGTGAATGATTGTTGTCAGTAGAATGTTCTTATTCCAGTTCGTGTGAAATGATCGGTTGGTTTTGCCGTGATGTTATTGGCTGTAAGACTCAAGTGACGTAAGTCGTTCGTGATTGGTCTGTTTCGGTCTGTCGGTAAAGCTAGGTTGTTCTTTTTCGGTCGTTTGTGATGTTTATGTCGTGAATGAGTCGTTTGTATGGGGCGGGTAGTTGTGACTGACTGAACACAGACGGGCGACGAGGAAAGGTGATGTCAGCAATCACATTGCTGAACACCATCGACTTACCAACCACAACATTGACTGGGACTCTGCGCAATGCCTAACCTACAGCACTGACTATTTTCAACGACTGACTCTGGAAAGCTGGTTTACTAACTTAGAACAGACTCCCCTAAACAGATGTCAACAACTACCCGCCCCATACAAACGACTCATTCACGACATAAACATCACAAACGACCGAAAAAGAACAACCTAGCTTTACCGACAGACCGAAACAGACCAATCACGAACGACTTACGTCACTTGAGTCTTACAGCCAATAACATCACGGCAAAACCAACCGATCATTTCACACGAACTGGAATAAGAACATTCTACTGACAACAATCATTCACTTGACTCTGATGATGACTTCCGCACAGGTTGTCGAAACGTCAGTCACTGCCACCGACAACAGTCCTTCTCAGGACTACACTCACCCAGACGATCAGACTACACCTTCACATGTTACCCCCGGGTTCAAACCATTTACTGCAGTATTGGGTGATGTTTATGCGCAGTATTGGATGCACAATGCAATACGAAAGATTCACCTTCACACGCATTTCTCGGATTGATTTTCTCTTCGTCATTGTGATTCTTCATAGCTGACATACTGCATGACCTACAATTCTAAGCTAATTGTTCTAATAAGTTTGGTTCAATCTGGAATCCTTTTATAGCCACAAATGGGTAAAAATCTTTCATTTGTTACATAACCTCGTTTTCATGTTTGAGCTAAAATGACGTCAGAAAACACCCTTAATTCAAAACCTATACCACAAATCAAGTCTATGAACTACCTAGCGTTAGTCAGGAGGTTTCGGTCTACCGAAATCCACAGTCAAACCTTTTCTGTGGTGATGGGAGAAGCAACACCTATTTTCTTGGTAGCTGCTGCGGGACTATAATTGTTGTAATTAGCAACGTGAAAAGATGGATTTAATTTCGTGCGACGTATTCTACTATACAAACAAAACCAGCAAAAGTAAAGAAGCTCTTTCTACCACATTCCAAACAAACTCATTGATCATTTTTGCCAAAGCTCGACCTTCTAAGAAGGATCCTAACCCCCTTACTCCCAGGTGTGACCAAAAAAGAAAATTCACCCACAACATCCAGAAAATGTTCAAAGGCGATTAGACGAGAGGAGAATGGAACATCTGCCAAAAAAAACCTGGGAAAGTCGCGTGAGTCAGAAAAAAATCAGTGGAAAAAACATTTGAAGTGCCTCGCGTGGAACTCCAGAACTATGGTGCACGAGCATCGATGTAGAAGTTGCGCCTTGAAGTTTTTGACTGGCGCAACAGACTTCCCAAAAAAGCATGGACTGCTGTAGTCTATCATTTACTTTACATGCAATTTCTGTGGGGAGGGAGGGGATTATGAGCGGGAGCACATTGTTATAAGATATTTGTTAACCACTAAAGCATCACCCTAAAATCTGAAAGCGGAAAAAGGGAAGGCGGTAGGGGAGTTGCGAAAAGACATTACGTACACATGATGTCCAAGGAAATTTTGGATTAAAATTAAATTCAAAAGAAACAAGGCACCGCTGCTGCTTACCTCCTGCCCCATTTCCACCTGACTATTCTCTGTATGCACTGCAGTCGAAGCTTTTGTATTTACCGTTTCTTCAGATTCCTCACTAATTGTATCACAGGCATGTGAAGGAGGGGGAGAAGTCGAACCTTCCTTGTTTCCTTTATCTTCACCCTCGCTACTACATCTGTTGGTTTTAAAATTAACTTTTAAAAACAATATTAATCGTACTTGAATGTAAATATGACTAAAGACAAATTCAACCAAAACAACAGCAACAGAGAATACAAGCAATAATCACCCTAACAAAATGTTTCCACCACTGACTCAGAGGAGAATAAATTGAATTCACCTGACTAGCTGTCCAACCATGGATATACGCGCTGACTCCACATTGTGGACCTGGCCACTTCGTATGCTTCAATTAAGAAAGCACAAAAAAGGTTACGTTATATAGTGCTCGATCACTACTGGCTGTACCCCTTGACAATGTAAATTTCCTTGGAAGTGATCGGTCAAGTTATTTTCAGTTAGTATTTATCCCCTGCTGTTAATTGGTCTCTGTCATTTGGTTTTTGAAAACTGATTGAAAATGATGCAACTCTTGTTTCAGAGTGGTCCATAAACTGCCGTGTTTCGTTTTGCCAAGAATACTTCCTTCATTCCATTTCAGAATACCTCCATTCTATTCCTTCTTCCAGTGATCGAAACGAAGATGGTCTACTTCTCAAAAAAGATTGCATAGCGGACAAAGCTTCCATCGCTGTCCCTAGGTATAAAAACAAACAAATTTATCAATAAATTCAGAGCCTTTGCTATAGACATACCCTTACACCCATTCAGATAGCCTACCTGAATACAGTTTCTTACTGAATGACTTCTCCCAGCCCTCGTGTATATACCGTACTGGTGTAAGCAGATGTAAAGTGGACACTAGAATGATATCGGTCTTCTTTCACAACAAAAAAAATTCATGCCATCCCCTCCACCAATCAGACGCAAAACATTTTGTCGTTGTGCAGGTAGTTTTCCTGTTTTACCTCTGGTTGTCATTGGCTAATTCTGATATTTTGCCTTCAATCTGACTAATCTGATCAGCCATTGTGATCACGCTGTTTTTTTTTTTTTTAATGACATTCATTTTAAAAGCACTCCATGTACTCTGTCCATTAGTCTCTGTCACTCACCTTCCACTACATCAATAACAGCTAATCCAGCTAGAGAGGCACCTAACAGTTTCTGAACTCCAACATGGACAGCAATGGCCCCACCCATACTAAAAACAACAAGTATCATTTAACGCATGTGATCAGCATAAGCACATCTGGTTAATCAGCCTAAACATTTTAAAACAATGGCTTAGATACAGGCACATAGCCATCAATTTTCAAGGGGGGGGGGGCATCCACAGGCACCTCCATGCTAAGCCCTTAAAATAAACTTCACTTTTCTTTGTAGAGATTGCAACAGACACTCTTACTGTGCATAAAGGGCAAATCAATATGAAAGGATGTAAACAGTTTGTTTAGCCCTTGCTGTCTCTGCTTTAGCTGTTATTTTCTCACAATTATGCTACAGAGTATTCTTAGCTACAAAGGTCAAGATAAAAACAAGAAAACATTACAAACAAATTGTCAGTAATATTTTTTACTCTACACCATCTTCTTTTCAGATACATTCACCAGTTAGCTGTAAAGACTTTTAAAAAAAAATTTAAGGATATCATGCAAGGGACAATGAGATAGTCTTCAGTCTATATCTAATTTAACCAATTTGTTCCAAACGTTTGATTTTAAATGCATTTTACCTGTGTCCAACCAGAAGAATAGATGGAGGGGAGTCCCCATAGAGAGACTGTACAACATTTCCAACATCCCTGTAAGTGATAAACATACAGTTGTTATTATAAGTATGTGCACCAATTAAAACACACTCTGTAATGGGACATGTATAGTATTGGACATATTATATAGATGGTAGCCTCCATTGGTGCAAAAATATGCTCAGATTATTAGCCAGCAGACACTTCATGTTCCAAGAAGCCAACAGTTTTCTCAGAGCAAAAGAGTTGATAATGTTGAAGGATGTTGAAACATGGGTAACAAAATGAAAATCAAAGTCACTTTTGAACACCAGTAAATTTCACATTTTGTCTCCAATGTACATGTAATTACTTACTCATTTTTATTTTTAATATTGGGTCCTGACCACAACTTTGGGAAAACACACAAAAGTGTTCATGTCCTATTTACTGATCATGCATTCAACCAACTTTTAAAATAATTATTACTCTCAAACAGAGACTCAGGTAAAACTTACTTTGATAAGGTATCAGCTGATAAATCAGAGTCATCTTCTGTGGATGTGTTACCTTTATAAGAAGCAATTTTTGTGTTTTGGAAATTATGGCACATACAATGTCATTCAACATATGTTTAGTAGTGCTTAGTGCACAAGTGAGGTCATTATATATGACTTAAAACTTAAGATAAATAAGTGTCTAAATTTGTGGATAAGGTGGTAGGGATGAAGGAAATTTGCACAAATTTTCTTTTCTCTATTAAAAGAACATTCAATAGGACTATCAAATTCATTTTTTTTTCTGTGACATCTACAAGCAACTCTTGTGTACTTAACCTATTGACGTCCAGTGCGCCCATATGCACCCATGGGGACCCACACCCTTTCTACGCCTTGTGACGTCATCACTTTTAACCCTGGAGCACGAATTTGAGCACGTACTTGAACAGGTTGAAAATATCTTACAGACGATACCAGAATGAGCGCAATTGAGTGAAGGAGATTGGAGAAATAGCCAAAAAACCGTGTCACTTTGACCTGAAAATCTGCACGAAAATCGTGTTTCACTACCCACCTACCTTTCCGAGCATGTGCTTTGAAAATAATGAGTAGTTTCTGAAAAATCTCTACACCAAAATGAAGCCTACTCAATTTCCAGCAAGTGAGGAGAAACTTCAGGCAAGGAGAGGGGAAAAAAAGGGCAGGAGAAAGAGAGAAAAGTAGAAGTCTGCACATGCCCGAGATTTTCAGGCCGCCATTTTGCATTTGGATCGAAAGGCCGTCGAGTGCACAAGCTGTCAAGGGGTTTTTGGTAAGTTTGAACTTTTAAAACCACAACAGTGACCTGAAATCTGCTCAACTAGCTTCAAAACACAGTTTTCCACAAAAGCTGCAGCCATTAATGGGTTAAAGGATGTTTGAAGAATTATACAGTCACTTACCATGGCCTCTAAGGTCTAAAGCCAGAACTTGACAATGACATATTCTTGTGATTGATTTCTGAAAAAAGATGAAAACAAAACGAATAAAAGGCATTCTATGACTACATGTGCCTTAAATGTTGTATAACTGTAGCGTATTGCAGTAAAAAAACAATGGGGTGTGGAATACAGAAGGGTTGATGAACAGCTCTTCTTGATGCCAAAGTTGTGACAAAAGGAGGACTTCATCGGAACAGAGTTGTACAATTCATTCAATTGACAGGCCGCAGATAGAGCAGAAAATCTTAAATAGAATAGGTACATGTGTCAAATGTGCATCAAATGTATTTTAATACAAATTTGGGCCACTTCATACACTCTGCATACCTAGCACAATGGATAATGCATGCACCTGTTCCTCTTGCATCCGAAGGTATAGGGTTCAAGCCTTGGCTGCATCAACTCTTTTTTTGTCTTTATCTTTTTAAGTTCTTTACTTTCTCTTTTTCTCTTTACTTTTCTTTTTTTATGAAATTTACATTCTTCTTCAAGGATATGTTGGATAAGTTCAGAGTAAAATGCACAAGTCATGTGAGCACATTAAATTTTTGGCAATGTTCAACCATCAAAGTTCAAATCAATAACAATGTTGAAATGCAGAGGCGAGACCCTCAACAAACACTGAACTAAACCTGATTAACCAAAAATGAATCTGATTCATTCAATTGTGGCTATTGTCGGAGCTGTACCAGGACAAGTCATTGGAAATGTTTTGAGTGTCTCATAATAGTCTGCCATTTTGAAAATTGCAAGGCCAGTTTGGGGGAGGGTTTACCGACTTACACAACACCATAACATAGTACTAAGAGCATTCTTAGAAGGAAGACACAATAGGCACAAAAAGGGATGAATGGTACATACTGAATTTAAGGAAATGCCTTAAATTTACTTTTCTCTGGTCTCTACATCCATGATTAAAATGGAAAATTGATTGAAGTCAATTCTTAAGTGTAATAATGAATACTTACGGTAAAGACAGCCCATGATAAAGCAGAATGCCCTCCACCATGAAGTAACAATAGTACTGGACCAGAAGTACCAGCCTGGTAAACTCGGAATCTCTATTACACAAGTTACCAGGTAACAAGTCAAGGAAATTCTCCAATTCTTTTCACATCATATCACAGCCACTTTAAATATCAAAACCCTGAGTAAACTGATTTGTTTTCTTTTTTAATGCCTGTGGCAGTTATAGTTCATATTAAAAGCTACCAGAGACAAACATGCATGAGGCATCATAACTGTGACCAAAGAACGCTTGTTTTCTTCTGATGGTGACAGTTTGTTCCTGCTATTATTTGGCTCCTATGAATAGAGTTCTCATTTTCAGGTGGTAACCAGTATTATCAAAAACTGGATCATTGGATAATGCAATTCAAGACTTTTAATTGGCTTAGCCCTTATGGTATATGAGCCAATATACCATAACAAATATGGTAAGCGTACGCGTCAGCTTAAAATTAAAAGGGAGCTAAAAATTTAAGAAAATTTAATAATTTAATTTAACGTTTTTAATAAAACAATTATTCCACTCGCTCTTGTTGGATATGAGATGATTATAGCCAACTCGGCGCTACGTGCCTCGTTGGCTATCTATCATCTCATATCCAACGCACGCCCGTGGAATAATTGTTAAATATTTATTGCATAAAGCATCTCTTAGTACCATCTAATGTGCTTTAAGAGTCTTGAAAATTCAACAGGTTGAAGGATTGCTTGTTCCTTTCAGAAATTTATTACACCTGTTGTACATAAAGTAAAGGAGAACACTGTTTGATCGTAGAGCCTTAGTTGAACTTTCAATAAAAAGGATCTAGCCTTTGTGTCAAGTAAATAATTACTCCTAGCCATCAGATAAAGATAACCAATTGAAAGCTTGAATTGTGCTTAGTGCACTAAGAATTTCAACTTATACTTCAAGTAAATAACCACCACCCTGTTAGCCCAATGGATAGTGCGCTGGACTGTTGTGCGGGAGGTCGAGGGTTCAAGCCTCGGCCAGACCAACACTCAAGGTCTTAAAATAATTGAGAAGAATTTGCTACCTTTCTATAACATCAAGAAATGGTTAGATATTCTTGTCTTCTTGGATAGGTATGAATAAATGGAGGTCCCGTCTCCTGCAGGGTTGGGGGTAGGAGACATTAATTTCCCACACATGAGATTACTGTGTGATGGATGTCCTCCCCTGGGGTGGGATGGGTGGGTTTATAC